ATGACACATTTTAACCACCATGCAGCATATACACGAATACTAGAAATACATGCATGCAGCAACCCCTCGCTATTTCAAACCAAGTACACAATTTCCTGAGTTAACCCGACCTAAACTTATATTATGAAATGACAAAAAACTCAAATCAGTCTTAATGTTTCCATCATTCAATACAAAAATAATCATAAAGCTAGTGTAAATATTGCCCGTTTAATTTTGCAGCATTATACCTTGCCAGCAATTAAGTAACGGTTTAAAATCGAAGTTTCAAACGATTAAAACAGTACAAAATCTTCACAGACAAAAAAAAACTTCAAATGTTATTTTATTCTGTAATTGCAGTCAACGCCGGCGGCTAAAAGTTTCAGTATACTTTATAAATATAGAGTGTATTTTTGATACCAAAATTCAAATTACACTTTCAAAAACACTTTTTAAAGTTAAAGCAAAGGTGTAATAGCCCTTCACAGGTTTATGCGTTTGCAGAAAAAGCTGAAAATTTAACAAATGAACGGCATACAAAGCTGAAAAGTATACAAATACGGCTCATTCTTACCGCGAAACAAGTACGAGATAAACAAAGTAAACACGTACCCTTTGTCTTTGAAAACATTTATAAGCTTGCAGATTATGAATTATTCCTCTTACACGGCTTTGTTTTGATTGTATCCACGTTCATCTTTGCTATCTGTCATGCTTCATATATCTTGTTTCTTCTCGTTTTACTTTCTTTGCACAAAGTTTATGAAACGCTTTTACAAAAAGTCAAAAATGTTTACGAAATGACAATTAAATTGCTGACGTTCTCATTGAATTACAAACTTTCTGTCTTAGCCAATCAGAACGTTCGTTGATTACCAGTCTACACTCGTTCGCATTTCACGCATGCGCACAAGTACCATGACCATTGAACGTCCACGTCCACGACATAGAATTTGAGCAACTTTGGATTCCGCTATGTTCTGTCACAATACCTGGGTGTAATAAATCTCCCAGCGGAATTAGTACCCTCGCACGGCGCTTCGCGCCGGCTCGGGGAATAAATGCGTGTGCAGTTTATTTATTTAAAGCGGTAATATAAAAACACGTGCATCAGTGTTGTCACTGTAACGTCGTGTTCAGAGTGAACAGTTGATGAAAAAATGAGTCAACTATCGGTCTTCCGGCAGAAACCGAACCTACGCTTTTGCGATGCCGGTGCAATGCTTGCTCTTGTCAGCTACCTCTGTATAGCTCAGTGGCAAGAGCATTGGCGTAATAAAGTTCAATGGGAAATTAAAACTGGCTGCAGTAAATTTTTATCCTCATTCGGTTAACAAGCTTAAAAAGGCTAACCCTGCTAGGTGATAGAAGGAGCTGAGATTAAAGCTTTGGGTGCATGGTCTTTCATCGAGTGAATTGTGGTATCACCATTTGCTGTGTGATGGTTTCGCCACCTGTAAAGATCTGGCGGCGACATATGAAGATTTTCTGGTCAGGTTAACAGCTAATTTACACCCTAGTGTGATGCGGACAACATTGAAGTAACCGAAGTTCCAGATTCCTTTCTGGTTGATACTAGTTCAATTTTTTATTCATAGACATAAAAACTTCTAAATCTCCGGGTCCTGACTTTCTTCCAAATAAATTTTTAAAGACCTTTGTTTTTGAGTTGGCCTCGATGATAACCGATATTTATAATTCATCGATGATACATGGTGTTTTTCCTCAAGAGTTAAAGAGATCATTTATCGTCCCAATGGTCATATCACCTCCTAAATCAAATTGAAGATGACCTTAGACCTATTTCCTTAACTGCACAAATGGCAAAACTAATGGAAAGTTTTACTCTGAAAAACAAATGGAAAGTTTTCGGTTTCACTTCCACTGAACACAACCACACCAAATATTTTTTGGACAAAAAGCAACGGGGAAACGTATCTTCCGTTGAAGCGTGCGACGACGACGGGATAAATGAAAACAAAACCACCCAACAGTTATGCAATTTAAACACCTGGCTCCGTTTAGGCAGACTAAACACCTGCCTCCTCCGCAGCCCCCCGTTCTGTTGCCTCATGGGAAGGTTGCAATTTCGAGAGGATTGTGCGCAACCTTCCCGTGAGGCAACGAGGGCCTGCAGAGGAGGCAAGATTTGGCTTCAAATCTCCGGCCGGAGGTAGCCTTCCAGTTCTTTTGAGTTCAATGACAGAGACTCGTCTCTTCCGATTTGAAATGATGTCCCCGCGTTTTGCCTAACACGTCATTTCCACGCGCCACGCAACCACCCGATTCTCTTCTTGTAGCTCCTTCGGCCAAATTTCAATACAAAAGCACAGATTAACACCCAGATGTCTCACTTCTGACTCAAAAGCGTAAGCGATTCGTCACTGCGCATCGCTTTCTGCGCACGCTTAGCAAGTGACTAGAGGTATTCACCCCCCCGAAATAAAATTTCAAAATGGAGACGAACTGAATTGAAGTGAAAAACTGCACGATGTGTCAAATGAGTCGGAATATATGTACATTTATTGATTTGTACAGGAAGTTCCATTCAATGTAAAGATATTCAAACACTTTTTAAAAGAAATATGTTTGAAATTATGGAGATTTCTACTGCTTATAATTTTCCGCTCCTACGACAATCGAAAAAAGATAAAACACTCGTACAATATTGAAAACGAGGTACTCTAAACTCACTTTTCCAAAGCGCGTATAAATGATGATGGATTCAGACACAAACTTAACTACACAGTCGCCTTCTCTAGCAAATGAGAGGAGGTTTTTTTCCATGTATAAAATAGTTCGGCTCCATTTTGAAATTTCGGGGGGGGAATGCCTCTAGTCACTTGCTGAGCAAGCGCTTACGCTTTTTTAATCAGAAGTGAGACATCTGGGTAATCTGTGACAAAAGTATGCCGAAAACGCTGCTCGAAAGGTGAAAAATTTGTTTTTTTTTAAACTGTATCGGATTATCTTTTTTTTTTGGACCAATATTTTGGAGATTAACGGTAAGTTGTTCGTTTTCTTGTGTTTAAATGTTCGTGTTGTTTTTAAAAACAATATTAAATCCTCGTTTGTTAAATTCAAGTGCGATCTGAGTTTGCCTTGTCGACTGCCATATTTTACCCGAATTGTCAAATTGTGTTTGCCAAAGTGAAACGTTGTCAGAGCTGCTTTTTTATTGTTTGTCAACTAGCAGGTAGAGCGTTTGCATACTTGTAGAGTAACAATATAGGACGAATTTCAAACAATGCGTCTAAATTCGTGTTTTAATTTTAGACTATCGACAAAATACCGCATTGCAAAACATTTCGAGATTTTGGCGTTATATAGCTTTAACTCGCAGAGGATATTAGTTTTTTAATAATTAGTACCATTCGATGATACAAACATTCACTGAAAACATTCATAATTATGTATCTTTACTTCTCAAGCAGAGTTGCTGTTCATACTTTTCAGTCAGTCCTTTTTTAAACTTTTTTGATCAAATTTTCACCAAGAATATAATAGCCTGGGCTTCCTAAAGAAAATATATTTTTAAATCTTAACTTACAGTACAAAAAACGTTTGGAACATTTTAGCCAAAGCGGTTAAATTTTTTAAAATTGCATTTGTACTGGCAAAAATTCCATTTTCCATATATCAAAAATGTGCTCGGAGCTCGGAGCTTACAAGAAGGGAATCGGGTGTGAAGGGGGCGAGTAAACAAGTGGGGACGCGTGGAGCCACGAGTCGAGGCCAATTTTGACCATGTGGTCGCGTTAACTATATTATATTTGGATTTTTATTGATCCAAAATTAACTTCAAATTACCCGATTTGTGAAAATGTAAAGACATAGGAAGTTTCTTCACACGCTGGTGAAGTTTTGTTGAGAATAAACAATTCAAACAGTACAAATTTTGACCAATATGTTTGCTTCGTGGTTGGGCCAACGCCGACGTCATTTCGATATGGCTAAAATTCTTCGACAACAGACCACGTTGTAGCGGTATAGAACAATGGAAATATTCGCCTTGAAGTTAAAAGTATTATGCAAGAAAATAAGCTACTGTATTCGGTGAGTAGTTTTTGAAATTAAACGCATATGGTGATGCGATGTTCATGGCTGCACTAGTCAGATGTTTAAAAGTACAGCCGTTACCATGGTTATTGGTTGGTGTCATAACAAAAAAGAATAACCTGATAATTTCACACTCAGAGGAATATTTTAATACATCAACCATAACATGTTTACGACAATTACACTAAATAAAAACCAGCATTTGTAGTAATTATGCAGCATTCAACTTACTCTTTCAATGGCTCTTGCCTTGCTCATAATATTGAACTACAGTAGATGTAAAATGTTTAATTGTCTTTTTTTGGTGATTTACACTAAGCTCCTAAAAATGGGGGATCTACTGTATTATTTTCCGATAGGAAAAAGGTTTCAGGGAATTCTATTTGTGTATATAATCATGCAATTTATATTGTTTATAGGATTTTTTAGTAAGTTAGAAGAATAATGTTTATGTGCAGTTATAATTATATAATTTCTACCCAAGGTTAACAATGCTTCATATTGTATAGAATACATAAGGCCGAGGGAAGTTAGGTGTTGGTTTACCGTAAACAGACATTTTGAAAATGATGAGGATTTTTTTCATTATTCATTATTCATTATTTTGCAGAATACTGGTTTACTAGTAAAATATGGGTTATGGTCTAAATACCAAGTTCCATACTCAATGAAAAACATGCCACAAATCACATGTATAAAAGTTTTATTAACAAAAACAAAATGTTGCAATAGTTAAAGCTATACTCTCTTGCTGATAGGCTCATGATCACATTCCTGGCACTGGGGGTATGCCTCCTCATTTTCTTCACCTGTAGCCACATACTCTCCACAAAAAATACATATTGGTTCATAACCACAGCTGTAATACAGTCGTTCAATGTGGTCAGCACAGTCCACATCTTTAATATAGACATCAAGCCCTGATGGTAAAATTACATCATCTGAAAAAAACACAAAGCACCACTTTTAATACAATGATCTGCACATAGTTAGTGACCAGTTAAATTGAAGAAAAAATTAACACACATACATATATTGGCTTATATATGGTTAAATTAAATAAAATTACATTACCAAACGTAAACCCGCATGTGTAAGAGATGTCATCTAATAGCTGGTCAAGCTTTTCTTTTTGCTGCCTTTTTAACTTTTTTCTTGAAAAAACTAATCTCCATTTCTCACACTCTTCACATTGCACCATTGTGTCAGTGTTTCTAGCATGCTGTACAGATGGGGAGAATGGAAGCTTTTTTTTTCCTTTGGGGTTCTCACTTTTAAACTGGGCCGTGCCTGCATGAATGTAAAATAGTTATGACATCAGACACTGGCTTAATCTGAACCGTGTGTGTGTGTGTTGTCAAAAATTAACAGGCTATTGTAACCCTGGTAGTCCAGGTATGACTTGCACGAACATGTACATATTATGGTAAGACTTACTTCAGTGGTTTTAGTACCATACACCTGTTCAAATTTTTTATAATGCTCTTTGTCTTCTGATAAGACTGGGAATGGTAATGTCTTGATATTTCTTGTTCTTTCATCCTTCAAAGCTCTAACATGGAAGTTGCAAAAATTAACACAATTGGTTGACACATATGGGGTATGACATAACAATTAACCAGCTTCAACTGCATATTTAAAAAATTTAACATGCCATAAGATGAACACATTTTTGCTGCATGCCACATAACACTTACCCACACATCTCGCACTGATTATTACCACACTTTTTAATTTGAAAACCATAATGGCTCTGGATGCAACAATGCTTTAGATATTTCTGGAGCTGAGATAGGTCTTTCACATCTTTTTGAGTTGTATGTCCTCTCTGAATTAAAATAAGATCATATGTAAATAAATGCAGTATTTATTTGGTTACTAAGAATGTCAAACACATCTTAACCTGTAATTCCTTCTGAATTGCCAGGCAGTGCTGCCAGAGTTCATTGATGTTATCCTCTGTAGAAGGCTCGAATGTCTGTAAAGGCTTTTCTTTAAGTCCTAATCTTAACATTTGACCCTTCAACAGGTCAATTGGCTGCCTTAGAGACAAGTGAAATTCCTCCTTTAGGTTGTCAGTAATCTGTTTACGCATTTCCTTGACACTATTCGCCTTCGCTGAAAAGTCAAGTGAATATATTATATGATACTGAGCCACTCACCAAAACAGTTGTTGCAATTTCAATCAGTTTTTAATATTACATATTTTACCTGCAGCCCTTTCAAATTCAGGACTCATCTTCTCACGCATAACACCAACACCTTGCAGGCCAATATTTATAATACTCATCACTCGCTCAACAGGGTTTGCCCATGAATTGCTTGGGGCTGTTCTGAGGGCTATAAGCATGTCCAAATCGAGTGCTTTAAACAAAGCAATTAGTGCCAACTTTACAGACATGTAGGTTGACCGGTGGTCAGGGCCACCATCAGTATAAAGAAGTAACACTGGTTTTGACTCTGAAAATGTTAGTTTAGAAAATGAACAAAATTAATATTATCATGCTGACAGGTTATATTTATACATGTAATTTGATTGGCAAAAGTGCCAGTAAACACCATTATAATATGGTACAGTAGTTAACTGTTAAAACATAACAGTTACATGTAACTAATGATTTTGTACCAGTCAATGCTGCAAGGCATACTGTAAACACAGGAATCATGATCATGTAGAAAAATTATTTAGCTCACCCCCTCTTTCTTGTAAAATTTGCAGAAGTTCAGATGAATGACGCAGAGGCGAAGATGGTTCAAACACGGCATCTTTAAATGCAACATATACATTTCCCCTGTAAAAACTGCCATTGATAGTTTCAGGAATATCAATCTTTAAAAAAACATGGAGACATGGCATCTGATATAGGTTGCATTTATAACTTAACCAATTGCTCAATTAGTTTCCTCCATCCCCATACTACTCCATAAAAATACTACTTACAATCAGATTCACAGAAGGAGTGAGTGTACTCTTGCTAAAATCGTGATCTCCCACTGCCATTGTTTGGTTTACTCCAACCAAAACTTGTTTACCTCTTTGGGCAGCAGCTAGAGGATAGTTGGGCTCACCCACTTTAATCTTGTGTTTATCGTCCATAGAAACCAGTTCCACCACATCACGGTGCATCACTGCAAACTCTCTCATGTAACGCCACATTGCTGCACAATAGTGGGAGTCCACATGATTGACTCGTACCTGAAATGGCAAGGTAAACTCAAGTGTAACATTCTGAAGTTTTTGAGGTTTGAGAGTAAACTCTACTTAATCCACGGTTTCTATAATTTACTATAGCTGTGATAAAACAATTGTATTATCATACCTGGCGTTTTTGAACCATCATCTTAATGTTTAGAGTGCCTTTAAAGTACTTGGCTGTCACTGCATTTGGATTTAGAGGTTGAAATTGATAGCGTAACCACTTTACTGAAGGTGTTGGTGTCCCTTCAGGTAGCCTTTCGGCAACACGCTTGTGTAGATCGGTAAAACTCAGGGCCTTTGCAAGATAAAGTTGCTCTCCATGTCTTCGGTCATTAACAGTAACACCTACATCTTCAGACAAATACCGCTCGGTTTCTTGAAAAAACTGTGCAAATGTGTCCTTCTTTCTTTCTGGACTGACATTTCTCAGATCTACAATAATTCCTGCATCTTCAGCCCTAACTGCATAATCAAACCTTTTGTCTATATCTGATGTAGCAGAACAATCACTTGTCAGGTTACGGAACATAGCACGTAATGCTACTGGGCTTGCACAGAATCCAAACATATGCTTGAATTCACGTTTCCGAAGTCTGGATAGAAACTTTGGCATGTCATTCTCTATCTTCTTGATAAGTGCAGTACACCGATTTAACAGCTCACTTTCAGGTAGGCCATTTTCAATTTTCCATATGAAATGCAATGCCTGCTTTGGCCCACCAGGATAATAAGTATACAGCACCGACTTTGTTTTAAGCCCAGTTGACTTCAATTCTTCTATCATCAAGTAAGCATACTGCCGACTTGTACCAGCAGGTAAACACTCACGCACAGACACAGGAGTGAATAGCTCAGAACTTTCCACTTTCTTATTTAATTCCAATAAATAATCCTTCAGGTGTCCTTTGTTTCTGGTACAACACTGACATTTGCCTTCAGTTCAAGGTTGGTTTTTGGCCTGAACTGAGATAGGCTGATCTTCTTGGCCTTGTTGCTTAGGAACACACAGTACTCTTCAGCTGTGCAGATGGCTTGGATAATTTCGCATTTAATGTCATTCCATGGAGATCCAATGTTATTTAGAAATGTTAATGACTGTATAACTTCCCTCAACTCAATACACATTGCTTTTAGCTTATTTTCAGAAATGTTGCTGATAGAGCGTTTGCGGTGTTTTGAAAGCTCAGGTAAGTTGAAACCAGACAGATTTTTGAAGCTTTTTGGAAATTTGGATGGAAGTGTCCCTTCGATCTTGCCATGGTGTCCATCAAGGTACCATGCAATGTTGCAAATTTTAGCAACAAATGATTTTGCACTTTGTGGTACACTTCTGGGGAACTCGCAGCAGTTTTCTTGGAACCAATCTAATACTTTATTATGGAGTTCTTCCTTCTTGGTGCCTGGACTTGAATATCTTCTTGGTACATTTTCACTTTGTTGTTCTCTTGCTGCTGCCAACATAATTTCAAAAGCATTTGGTTTTGCTGCTTGTATTTGCACTTGTGATGAACATATCTCACAGTCTTCCTTGTGGGAAATAACCAGCCCAAAGAAGCGTGTCTCAAAAATGTCCACTTTTTCAACAAGATTTTGCTCTCCATCAAACTTAATTCCTTCAGTAGAATTAAAGGAGCTTGAAGCGATTCCATGATGCAACTTGTAGTTTTTGCAGGTTGTTTTCACTTCTACTGAACTGACTCTTCCCAACAGGATATCATTCAGTAATTCATTCGCAGTGTATGAAACATGATTGAAATTCACAAAAGTCCATGGAACAAGAACTTGCCCGTCGTCTTTTGATGAAATACGTATGCAAACTGACCGTGACATCTTAAAAAAACCAAACATGGTCATGTATCTCACCATCATCATTGATGAGAATTCAATGTTGTACAAATATTTTTGATAGTCAAAATTTAATATACCATTGTATTAAAATAGACAATCGAGCCAAAAATACATGTTTATAATAATAATATTGATATATAATAAAACACAAACACTAAAGGGATCAGTAAAAGCTATTGAAACTTACCTATTTAATAGACGTGAACATAAACCTTGAGTTGAACATATTTACATTTCATGCGCACGGACGCCATCAAGGGAAATTCACAAACACGTGTTGTAGCTAGCTGTCTCGTTGAGTATACATATGCAACGAAGCTATTGATTGGTTGTGAATTAACCAATATAAAACATCCATCTTTAATAAATCATCCACATAAATCATATGGCCAGAAAGCATGTAGATAAATGTATACCAATGATTAATACATCGGAAATGTCTTAACAATTCCAATATGTTCAAACTTTTCCCAAATAATGAAAAAAAATAAAATAATGAAAATTTTAAGCGGCACCTCGGAAGCCATGCGGGCGGTTTACGGTAAACTGACACCTAACTTCTCTCGGCCTAATAATAAATGTTTACTATACAAATAAATATTTTTATTATATTTGATTCTGTCATGAGACTGAGAATTAAGTTATGTCATAATCTGCCACCTTCAATAATAATCGATCATAAAGGCATTTTATCGCAGGAAAATATAGAACATGGGAGAACTTCAAACTTTCAAGCAAAAGTAATTTTTCATCAACTAAATATTTATAGCTTCGCTTGTAAAAAATATGTGTGCTTTTAAACTCTAGAATTACTATAGAATCCATTATGTTTTAGAGTTAAATCAGTAGGATGCATTGAATTTGTGAACAAGGTTTGAAAATTATGCTTGAGAATTTTAAAAGGTTTTTTTAATGTTATAGTATAATTTTACCACAAAACTTTTATGTGTCAAGTAAAGAGGATAACAACAGCTAATGAGACATGCAACAGCTAAGGCATGCAAGAAAAAAAGGTTTTTTAAAACGAACCTATTAATGATGGTTTAAATAAACCTGGAACAGTGTTTCTGCATATCTCTATAAAGTAATGGGACTTAATCATGCAATAAAGTAATGGGGTTTATAGTGCTGCAAAACAGACCTCTATATAAAACAACAGGTGCAGTCACATTCTTGTGGTAGTGGATGTCCAACTTCAGGCAGAGGGGAACAGTCAATAACCAATTTTGGCTATGGTTGAGGTTATTCATGTTAAAGTAATGGTTACTGGTTAGGGAAGGGTTACAAAATATTTTTGTAACCTGGTGGGAAAACAAAAAACAGACGCTTTCAAACCTATCTAAAAGAACAAAGCCTAACCTTATTTATTCAGGATCGATATATATACTTTTATAAAATGATATTCCTCTCTTCCATTTTTAAAGCCATGTTCTAGTTTTAGTTATGCTGATATCATGCCCTATTTTTCCTGATTTTTTAAAAATGTTTTTTCGATATTTCAATCTTGCAAATTTTGACTATTTTTGCCAGGGGGCTGGGATGTGTGAACTTGTGATGTCACTGGTTGTATTCGAGTTCCGTTGTTGTTACATTACCTTAGCAGCATGCCTTGATCAATTGAGCAGCGATTTATCGCAGTTTTTCCTCTATTGCAATGTCTAAAACGGAGATATTATAAAGTGTGTCCAATGTAGACGGATCAATTATGTTACTAAGCGAATTTAAGGAGAAAAACTTCAATAACGACCTCGCAAGTCTTTGCGCTTCGAACAAAGTAAACCATTTCAAGGTGTGTCATTGTCAATTTATCATTATCAGACTAGACTTCTTTACAGATGTAGTGTACAAAATAGTGTGGCTAATCCTTGGAAAAACAAAGCAGTTTTATTTAGTCTATACTATAATTCAACTGCCCATACGCGTGTTTGTATTGATTGATTGTTCACGCTTATCGCGTTATTCAAATTACAATTATTTAAATACTATTTTTAATGCGGTAATGCCAATAAACACGTGTTTGAAGCAAAACCCATATTGTAGGTTTGAAACGTATGTTGTTGAAACTTGATATGTTGCCGCTTCCACTGTGACTTAATTAACATGTGTCATTAAGATTGGTTAGGCTAATGTATCAGGTGTCAGTACGTAGCGAGAAGGCGAAACAAACTTCGCGAAATATGTGTGAGCAAATTCTATCCTATTCAAGCTTGGTTTGCGCTAACCAGAGTAAGTTGAATATTATCTTATTGTGTTAATCTGTTGTTATTCTAGAGCCTGGTCTGCAATTGTATATAGCGTAAATTGTATTCATGCTTAATTGCTTATGTTAGTTGCGTGCATGCCGTAATCTATGTAATTTTACAAATTATCTGGTTCGAACCCATATTCTTTTGCATCTTATACCGCAACCATACCACAATCTGTCCGCCAAACCTCAACCTCAATATGTCGAGAATCAACCTGTGTGATCTGCGTATAGAGTTCGTTCTTCATTGCTGTTTCAAATCCTGTGCTAGCTATTAAACAAAAGCGTGCGTATAGAGCTCGCTGTTCATTGCTACGCATCATACTTCAATTGACTCTTGGACTTTGCGGCTTTTAATAGTCTACCCAAGGAGTTTACAAATAGTATTTAAACGCTTGAATAAAGGGAATAATTAGTGTTCCGCTTATGTCATAGTTCTGCGGTATCTTCTTTCACGAATTGAGATATTTTTTACTTCTAGCTTTATTACTCGACTTTGTGTCTTCTTTTAACACGTTCCTAGGACCGCAAGCAACGCAAGGATTTGCTTTTTTAAGCAAAATCCTTTATGTCATCGTCTGTGTAAGATAGATAGGACGATATTTTCCGAGGACTAAAATATTCGTAATCGGTCGGAAGCCATTATCCGCCATTAGCTACTGTTTGTCAGTTTGGATACCGGTATTTCCGATCTTTCGGGCAAAATAATCCCGCTTATTTTCGTAAAATATAAGAACAACTAAATATCTAACCAGTATTCTGAGCTTAAGAAGGGATAAATGTCTATTATGTGCTTGAGATACAAGTGAAAAAGGTCCGAATAGCCAAATTCGCTCAACCAAGCCAAGGAGCGGGGTTATCGAAAATACAATTGCTTTTAGCGGGAGCATTGAATTGAATTTGTAGTGCGTTTGTTGTTTTATTTAAGTCTTCTGTCTTTAAAACGCTAAAATATCTTTAAAAATTAAGATCATGTTGTGCTTAGTTATACGACATTTTAGGTAATGCTTTTTCTGACTTATTTATCAAATGCACTCCCTGAGTATCTATTTTTTAGGTCGCTTATGAGGTGTTCGCTCGGTTACTTAAAATTATATAACTATATACTATATAATACAATAACATTTAGTATTAGATCAATCTGTGCCACTAATGGATAGTTAAGGGCCCCTGACTGTGACAAGGCCACGTTGTGCCATGTTAAACCACACTGGACCCAGAAATAGCATTGTATGGAAACGATTGAAAGTAAGAAATTTCAACAACGTGTACAGTAGGCTGTCTGTGCGCGCCTTTTATGTTGGTGATTGAGCTCAGTTTGTTTAACTTAAAAATTTCATCAATGAAAAAACATTCTTTGTATTGCACATGCTTGATTTTAGCTCTTGGATTTCTTTTTCATTGGATTTCTTTTTCAAATCTGATTTATAATTTATATCATAATACATGTAGTCCAGCAGGAAAGGTTAATGCTTGTAATTACTTTAACTATAGATCCCTCCAGTAATTTGCATGTGTTCGTATGATTTGTTAGCTTGCATGTCAGAACCTGATAAGCTGTTCGAATTGCGTATTATAATATAGCGAGTTGGTGCGGCTACTTATCCTCGTCACCAAATTTAAAGAAGTTAATTTGGCTGACCGTTATTACGGTGGCCAGTATCCCGCCTTATACAGCTTCCTATTAAAACGTGGTGGCGACATTTTGAAGTTTTCATATGATTGGATTGCTTTAAATTGGTATTCCCTCTTCATTGTGTATTCAATCGGCGAACACAATATGAACAATTATTTACTGTTTAGGTCCAGAATATATACGATGATTTGGAATATGTCAGCAGTATAGCAGGCAAATAAAATCGTAATTCATAATGGTGAGTTTTTAAAGTTAGTTAATGCGTGTACATCGCGTATAATTGCATTAAATCTAGTGCTGTGAGTTAGTTATACAGTGTTGATGATGGAAAAATCGTACGTAAAAACGGTTTCAAAGAAAATCAGATTAGTCTGGTTTAAATTTGACTCCTGCCATGTTCTTGAAGTCATGTTTTCGTATAGTAACTTGCTAAGGCAATTTAATGATGTCCAGTGTTCTGGGTTTGTTGGGTCGTCCTTGTGTTGTCCCGCTTTGTATCGAAAGCGGATTCCTTTTAAAATAGCTTTCTTTACCCTCTGAGGCAAACACGAATTGCAGTGGTGGATGACATGCGAAACTATTACCACTCCATATAAATGTACTCCATATAAGAAGATTTCTTCTTGTATTGGGTATTGGAGTTATTTTTATATCAACGCGCGATTTCAGCTATCAGACTGGTTATACTGTTGATCGCTATTCTTGTTATTTAACTACAAGCACTGTGCAGTGATTCGGTGGAATCAAAATGAAACTACGGCTGTTTTGTTAATGCGCTAATCGTATTTGTATGCAAACCCCCTGTGTATATACGAGTTGCACGATGAGGCAGAAATTTTGAAGATGTAACTCGAGGGACATATTAGAAATCCGGTACTAAAAATTCCCTTTTTTAGGTAAAACGGATCATAAAGTGGACACAACACGCTGAGATATTGACGATCATGCGTCTGGCGCCACAGATAAGTCACACTTGTCTTTTGCTTTTTTCTCAATCGTATACCTTCCAGCAGCTTGAGCAAAATTATCTAGTTATCGATTTGTTTAGCTTAATATTTGGGGCAGTTGTGGCGATCTGTGATTGTCGCCGTGCTGAGATTGTAGTGACACTTGAGACCTGTGTTTAAGCGTTTTTGGTCTAAAATTCCCGTGCATGGGACTGAAATATTAATTCATTTTCATCGACTCGTGGAATTGCCTGGGAATTGCTAACCGCCGCCATTGCATTGCCCCCCCCCCTGCATAATCGCTTTAGTCTAATGAAGACGTCGCAGCGAGTGTGATGCGTTGGTTACTTATAGTATGTGAACGATTTCAATTTTAACCGGAAAGCTCTTAGTTGAGGAATTTTAATCCTCCGCTGGTTCACAATTCAATCGTACAATCCAACCCT